TTTACCACTTTATGAAAATATTCATCTCTGACAAGCGTACACGAGAGCACGACGACGGATGAATGTTTTGTTGAAATGAAAGCAGACTTTGTGTGAATGCATGCATAAAATTGAGGTTAAACCAGTGGAGTCACATCGATTACTTTAATGAATGTCATTACTACCTTTCTGTGCCTTGAATGTGCTAGTTGCGTGGACTGTCAATGTAGGGACAGAAATCTCTCAGATTTCATTAAAATATCTTCATTGGTGTTTTGAAGATGAACAAAAGTCTTACAGGTTTGGAATGACATGAGGGTGAGTAAATGTTGACAGAATTTGAGTAAATTAACCCCATTAAACAGTTTGTCAAAAGCATCAAGAGAAGAGACTGACTTGCATGGAATGGCATGCTGATCCAAATTTAAGTACTGGTGAAATTAATAATTCTTCCAAGAGCCGGGTGACAGGGCTGAGCACTTCCAGCAATGCCTTGAAGATGCTCCTCAATGCTTGTTCCACTCTGGAAAAAAAAAACAAGAAAATCGCAGAGGACTATCACTGATATGTTAAATAAAATAAAAAAAACTACAAAAAAAATTATAAATAAAAACAAACCTTCTAGAAGATATCTCTACTTGAGACGTAGACGCCTTTCCTGGTCTCTTCTGGCCTTGACAAGACACAAACAACAAACATTTTAAGATCATCAACACTGCTTAAAGAATGCTATATGAACTTAATCCTTAGTCACAGTTAATGCAACTCAGTAGCTACAAAACTGCTGTGAAAAGTGGCACAATGACATTTCTCTTTTCATTTTGTACCTTCAAATTATATTCCTCGTTAGAAATGCCTCTCTGTATAGTTTTGATTCTCCATAGCAAGTATCCGTTGGCACTCTTACCAACATCATAGTAATGCACCTTAGAAAGACAAAAATACAGAAAAAAGAGAAGAAAAAGTGTTTTAAAATCCAAGAGAAAAATATACCACCGATATTATGGGCATGTGATCAAAACATTTAAAAGTGGTCAACAATGCATTAAAACTAAAACAAAAACAGTGCGATACTTACATAGCCATTTTTGAAGAAGGGGACACTGAGGTATGGGAACAAAGGCACAATTCCTCTGGCATAGTTTTCGTTCACCTTCCTTGTTGGTGATGTACTGCAAAAATAAATATTTTTTTGAAATATATATATATATATATATATATATACACACACACACACAGTTATCATATATAGTTATTTATATGAAAAATTACCTATTATTTTCTTTAATGTCATCTGTCAGGATATTGAGTTTTTCATTGAGAATCAATCAGACCAGCTTAATAATAAAAAAAAATAAAGAAGTATCAAAGCAAAAACATAAATATGGTATATAAACAATAAAAATACTACTTCAAACAATACTTAATTTTACATATTCTTGTAAACTTTAACCTTATAAAGATCAAATTAATGTTGTATTTGTAAGTAGATTTATGCGTTTCAGCAATCCCCTACGGAAGTTCTAATGCATTATTTTTTTCCCCTTCTTGTTTTCTCGTTATAAGACTTATTTTCTCGTTATATCAACATAATGAGAGTTGTTTTCTCGTTATAACGACTTATTTTCTCGTTGTATCGACATAACGATAGTGGTTTTCTCGTTATAACGACTTATTTTCTCGTTGTATCGACATAACGATAGTGGTTTTCTCGTTATAACGACTTATTTTCTCATTATATCGACATTTACGAGAGTTGTTTTCTCGTTATAACGACTTATTTTCTCGTTGTATCGACATAACGATAGTGGTTTTCTCGTTATAACGACTTAATTTTCTCGTTATCTCGACAAAGTTTTTTTTTATTATTTACAATGATTGTTTGATCTACTGTTGTTATAGTAACAAACTCAATCTGATGGACAGATACACCATGCGCTCTTACTGTAGCCTAGGTCGTGGATATTTCAGCAAATTTTGCTTCGCCTAGTAATAACGTCTACAATACAAAAATAAAGGCTGATCAATCACGGTTGATATTTCCAGAGACAGTACGCTAAACATTTTGTTTGTGTAATTAGCATGTTTAAATGATCAAAGCAACACCGCAAACACAGGCGGAGCGCCTTCAGGATGCAGAACTATTCTAAAATCTTTTAGTAAGTAGATTTATGCGTTTCAGCAATCCCCTACGGAAGTTCTAATGCATTATTTTTTTCCCCTTCTTGTTTTCTCGTTATAAGACTTATTTTCTCGTTATATCGACATAATGAGAGTTGTTTTCTCGTTATAACGACTTAATTTTCTCGTTATATCGACTTAACGAGAGTTGTTTTCTCGTTATAACGACTTAATTTTCTCGTTATATCGACTTAACGAGAGTTGTTTTCTCGTTATAACGACTTAATTTTCTCGTTATATCGACTTAACGAGAGTTGTTTTCTCGTTATAACGACTTAATTTTCTCGTTATATCGACTTAACGAGAGTTGTTTTCTCGTTATAACGACTTAATTTTCTCGTTATATCGACTTAACGAGAGTTGTTTTCTCGTTATAACGACTTAATTTTCTCGTTATATCGACTTAACGAGAGTTGTTTTCTCGTTATAACGACTTAATTTTCTCGTTATATCGACTTAACGAGAGTTGTTTTCTCGTTATAACGACTTAATTTTCTCGTTATATCGACTTAACGAGAGTTGTTTTCTCGTTATAACGACTTAATTTTCTCGTTATATCGACTTAACGAGAGTTGTTTTCTCGTTATAACGACTTAATTTTCTCGTTATATCGACTTAACGAGAGTTGTTTTCTCGTTATAACGACTTAATTTTCTCGTTATATCGACTTAACGAGAGTTGTTTTCTCGTTATAACGACTTAATTTTCTCGTTATATCGACTTAACGAGAGTTGTTTTCTCGTTATAACGACTTAATTTTCTCGTTATATCGACTTAACGAGAGTTGTTTTCTCGTTATAACGACTTAATTTTCTCGTTATATCGACTTAACGAGAGTTGTTTTCTCGTTATAACGACTTAATTTTCTCGTTATAACGAGAAAACCACTATCGTTATGTCGATACAACGAGAAAATAAGTCGTTATAACGAGAAAACAAGAAGGGAAAAAAAATAATGCATGGCCGCTTAGAACTTCCGTAGTCCCCCAAATGCATAAGTAATAAAAACGTATTGCCCACCTTTTAGCTCCATCATCTGGTCTCATTCGTTGGTAACACTTTACAATAAGGTTCCATTAGTTAATGTTAGTTAATGTATTAACTAACATGAACAAACAATGAACAATACATTTATTACAGTATTTATTAATCATTGTTAATGTTAGTTATTGAAAATACAGTTGTTCATTGTTAGTTCATGTTACATCACAGTGCATTAACTAATGTGAACAAGCACAACTTTTGATTTTAATAATGCATTAATAAATGTTGAAATGAACATGAACTAAGATTAATAAATGCTGCAGAAGTATTGTTCATGCTTAGTTCATGTTAACTAAAATAGTTAACTAATGTTAACTAATGAACCTTATTGTAAAGTGTTACCCATTCGTTTACTGGAGGACCTTTCTTCAATAATGAGTGTATCCTGTCACTAGTCACTGGAGTCAAAGGATGAAGACGGGGCTGATTTGACTGCACAGGAGAAGCTTGTTACTTAAAAGGAGAACAAAAATATGTTAGTTCTGTGCTATGACATGCCAATAACAGTCTCTCCTAATAAACGGGCAATATTTTAAAATGCGTTACGTTACTTGTACCAGCACTTACATGTACCGCTCTGATCAGGCCAACTAACTGTGTATGTCTAACAGCAATAACGTAAAATAGTTGTTCGTGCTACCGTAATCACTGCATAAGGTTAAAATAAGGAAAACAAAGACGCGGCTGTTTTTAAATGAGATGTTCCGCCTTCCCCATTGGCTTCTTCTTCGCACAGTGTTGATCCAAGTTACCGCTAATCCCACAGCGCCATTTACGTGGCTTCAATAAAGATGCAATGGTGGCGTTCGACTAATTCGTCTAATTAATTCGACTAATTAATGCCGTTGGACACATTTAATCTTTCGTGAGCTGAACAGTAGCAAATATAGAGTTTATATAACATTCCAACGGTTTACATAACATCATATAATTTCTATAAAAATGTGTCCGCTTATACCCCATTGTGACGTTACATTATTAAACGTTTAAAAAACGAATTAAGCGGATATACCAAAGCTAAATACAGCTGAAAATCAAATGAAGTAAGATTACGGACATCATTTAAACTTTATCATTAACAGTTACCACATTGAGATGAAAAAAGCAAATTTCTCCAACATACTGACTTGCCTATTCGATTCCGAGTTTAAAACAATCAAATTACACAAAGTTCAAAAAATTACAACTTATGCATTAATAGTAGCACAGTTATTAACATCAAATATTCAACTTATATTTTAATAAATTAAAAGAACTTACCTTTTGGCGCAAGACAAAAGAAAATGGCGAAGAGAACTTTTGCTCTGGTCTTCGGGGATGGCTGGAGGGGCGGAGCTTAACGGAGTAAATTTAACAATGCAGAATTCAACTCTGATCATTTTCACCAACACTAGGGGGCATTTTTCACTATTTGTTGTTAAGTTAACTCCTTAAGAGTAAATGGAGCGTAACACTGCTTAATTAACACTGTCAATTTTACTGTGTATGTGTATTTCTATTTTTCTGCCCTTTTTAATTATTTAATTTATAAATTAATAAAAAAAACAACAACAACAACAAAAACGAGTAATAAAGTGTACAATAAAGTACAACCATATCCTTATATTATAATCATATTGCACTTGAATAAAGTTAAAGGTGCAATCTGCCGATTGTCCTGCAGGTGACCGCATGAATCTGTCTTGCACTGAGGGCTTTGCGATTACTCCAGAGCACTCGTAGATCTACGATGATTTTCAAGTGCTACTTAAGTTACGATGCTTTTGATAAACATACCGTAATATTAAGATTAGTCATACGATCGTTTTTACGAACTTCTTAGGCTTACGAAGCTTTTGGGAAATGCAGCCCTGAAAGAGTTTGTAACATTATGCTTCATATTATGTAGAGTGTAGTTTATTTTATTTTATAAGCAAGCACAGAATAGTATGATAAAATAAACACTTAAATATATCTAATAAAAATTGTATTATTTAATATATACATAAAAAACTATTCATATATAATATAGGTTATCTTAATATATAGTTTATCTAAATAAGTTTGTGTGTGTGTGTGTTTTACATTATTGTTATTATTATTATTATTAGTAGTAGTAGTAGTAGTAGTAGTAGTAGTATTGTTGTTGTTGGTGGTGGTGTTGTAATTGCACTAAAACTGAATCCTTACAAACTCCTAGGTTTGCAGTTCTTTAGATTTCCAGGAAGGACTAAGCTATGGCTGTGAAATAGTTTCTGATTATTATTATGACATGGAAGGTTCAGTAAGTTATGATCACCTTGTCTATACATTTTATTTTATTCTATTTTATTTATAAATACAATTCATTCATTCATCTAATTTAATTATACTTTAATCATATCACTTTAATTATATATTTTATTTACAAATACTATTTATTTATTTGTTTACTTACTTACTTATGAACAAACGAAATGCATGCATGAATGAATGATGGTCTATAATCTGTAAACCCACCACTAAACGGCATCTCAGCTTTTCACTGGATATTTCAAATGTCCATCAAACAATCTCTTCTTCTTAATGGGTCTTGACCTGAATAAATGGGCCTTTCTATTGGTTAGTCAAAGGTCTGTTTATGCAAGACTAGTGCACCACCCACTAAGCAACATCTTTTTTTTTCTGTTCAGATAGTATTACATCTCTTCAGTCAGAAAAGAGTTTCTTGTTGCGTTGCAAAAAAGCGGCCAAATGTCAAATGATGTGAGATATTGGAGAGATTACAGGAGTGAGTATGAACATGTCTGCACAGCGACACAAACATACCGTAATATTAAGATTAGTCATACGATCGTTTTTACGAACTTCTTAGGCTTACGAAGCTTTTGGGAAATGCAGCCCTGAAAGAGTTTGTAACATTATGCTTCATATTATGTAGAGTGTAGTTTATTTTATTTTATAAGCAAGCACAGAATAGTATGATAAAATAAACACTTAAATATATCTAATAAAAATTGTATTATTTAATATATACATAAAAAACTATTCATATATAATATAGGTTATCTTAATATATAGTTTATCTAAATAAGTTTGTGTGTGTGTGTGTTTTACATTATTGTTATTATTATTATTATTAGTAGTAGTAGTAGTAGTAGTAGTAGTAGTATTGTTGTTGTTGGTGGTGGTGTTGTAATTGCACTAAAACTGAATCCTTACAAACTCCTAGGTTTGCAGTTCTTTAGATTTCCAGGAAGGACTAAGCTATGGCTGTGAAATAGTTTCTGATTATTATTATGACATGGAAGGTTCAGTAAGTTATGATCACCTTGTCTATACATTTTATTTTATTTTATTTTATTTACAAATACAATTCATTCATTCATTCATTCATTCATCCAATTTAATTATACTTTAATAATATCACTTTAATTATGTATTTTATTTACAAATACTATTTATTTATTTGTTTACTTACTTACTTATGAACAAACGAAATGCATGCATGAATGAATGATGGTCTATAATCTGTAAACCCACCACTAAACGGCATCTCAGCTTTTCACTGGATATTTCAAATGTCCATCAAACAATCTCTTCTTCTTAATGGGTCTTGACCTGAATAAATGGGCCTTTCTATTGGTTAGTCAAAGGTCTGTTTATGCAAGACTAGTGCACCACCCACTAAGCAACATCTTTTTTTTTCTGTTCAGATAGTATTACATCTCTTCAGTCAGAAAAGAGTTTCTTGTTGCGTTGCAAAAAAGCGGCCAAATGTCAAATGATGTGAGATATTGGAGAGATTACAGGAGTGAGTATGAACATGTCTGCACAGCGACACAGAAGTCTGCTTGAGCGTATAAACAGCCTGGGCTTCTTTCTGCTGCTATCTTGTGTGCCGAGCTCTAAGTGTGTCAGACACATTGCAAAACCAATTACAGGTATAATGTGATTAGCTCTGCCAGAGTAATGCAGTCCAGTGGATTTAAACTCAGAGTCTAGGACTGCCACATTACGTTTGGCAGTCGGCTACCAAAAGCCTGATTTGTTCTGCTTCTCATTCCTTCACAACTGGCATCCTTCCCTCGCTTCAACCTTCACTCCACCCATCCGGATGGATGGAGCGGGACAGCGGGAGGCGGGAGCTCATCCATGTCCAGTGACAGTTTAATGATGTCAGCTTGGTTTCATTCCACTTCCCATCACACACCCACTGTGTCTGGCTCTTTTTAACCTTACAATATTTACACACATGGCCAACCGCTTCACCCTGCCCTGATACCCCCGAGCTGCTTGGCTCCGCTGTGTAGGTTATATTAGGACGTGGGGCAGAATTGAGAGATAACACAGGTTAACATTCATGTGCTGTGTATGTGTAGGTGTGGGTTCAACATGAGTCTTGAGTCTGGCTCTGGCCATTGAGGGGTTGGGTGGATAACACTGTGGTCAAGATCCGGATCAGTGGAGGCTTTCGCATCTTATCTCACGCTGTCTTGACAGATCGCTGCTGCTTTTTCTGCTCTGGTGATACATTGTTTCTCCACGTGCCGGAGATACAGTTTTTCTCAGTCGATTTGACACTTTTCTCCAATGCAATGTACTTGTTCTCAAAACAATTAGCACAGCCATCCAAACACAGAATTATCTTAACCAAACAGTTCAACTTTACTGCAAAATGATGCACTGCAATTTTTTTCTAGTAATGCATTTAGTAAATATTAACATTAAATATATAGGTGTGTTCTCTATTGATTATAAAACACATTCAGCTGTTGATGCACAAATATGCCAATGTCAATATGTGTATTGCAATTCTTCAACAGGGAGTTTTGTTTTACATATGTTGTGTTCCGACACCAAAACTATCACCCATGAGAAAAAAATAAATACAAATTGCCCCGTTAAACTTAAAGTCTGTTTGTGCCAACTTTAGCAGCAAGAACTTCAAACAAACTTGTCTGATAACTACAGATCAGTCTTTACATACAGTATATATATATATATATATATATATATATATATATATATATATATATTGACATAATT